CAGTATCCTTCTTAGCACAACACTCCTCACACCACCTCCCCAATGCAACATCCTATCACAGTTACACTCAGCTAAAAAGTTCTGTGGTTGATATTAACAACTTATATTTGCCAATGCTTTATAATTTAGAAAGCCCTTTCTCATCTGTTCTCTCATTTGGCCCTCTTACCATCCTTGTGCAGTAGCCAAGGTCAGCCTTTGTTTATCCCATTTTATCCATTAGGAAAGTGAAATTCAGAGTGATTATGTGACTTGCCAAAGGCTGTATAGTCAGGAAGTTACAGAGCCAGGACTCAGCGATGTTCTGACTCCAACTTAGTCATCTGTCCACCCACTTCATGGCCGATGTGCCCTGCACATAGAATGAGGTTTTACAAAGAAAATCATAATGTGTATGTTTTACATGTAAGATTATTTCCGCCAAATGTAAGATAATGAAAAACTTCTCAGCTCCTTCTCTAGAATCCTTTGCTTAATGTTTAAGTATGTATATGGTTCTCAAGAAAAAGATGGGACAGTTCTGTCTTTCAGTTAGTTATCCAAAAGGTGTTTTTTGGCATGCCTTAGCCCTAAACAATAAACAAATCCTATTTAACTTGAGTGTTCGCCCAAATCTCGAACTTCTTATGTTTGTTCAAATCAAAGTTTCCATATGTGACTTGTTGAATGAACTCAAAAAGGGTCTGGAGGCTTCTCCTTGAAATAAATGATAAAGGTTTATCCAAAGATCTTGGAGTTTACAAACTGGGAGCATAGCTAGACAAAAACACAGAAGAGTTCCAAAGAAGAAGGAAAAGTTAAAAGTTCTTATTATAAAAGTACATTCTTAAGAATTATCAGTACTGAATTCTTAGCCCTAGGATTGTGTTTTCAGTAGGCACTGCCATCTTCCCTTGAGGAGACAGACACATTTGCCTAAGCCATTATTTAATACAATTAGTACTGTATCTTTATCCAAATCCTAGGCAAGGGGCCATACAAGCCCACAAGATGTTTATAAAATAATTCATGTTGGTACTTTCTCACTTATCTCGTTTTAGTATAAGTATCAGACTTGGAGCCAAAGAATCTACTTTGTAACTGAAAAGTATTCTTTCAAATGAGCAAAGCTCTTGCTTCTTTACTAGTTGTATCAGAGTTAACAAAAGCAAAGTATGTTCAGACTCCTTGGGATGGTATTCTGGAACTAGACTGGGTCATTCCAAAGCTGCAGTCCCAATACCTGATTTTCTTATCCTATGTATGTGTCTCAGAAGAGGTCACACTTGACTGTTGGTTGCACTTCTACATTGGTCTTTCCTTCTCCAAAGGCAAGCTTCCTGTGAAAGAAGGGAATGCAAGGTCACCAGTCCAAGGTCATTTGACAGAGTTTCCCAGAGGTCCCGGGAAATGAGAAGTTAGACTCCTTCCACTTCAGTTTGCATCTGTGTTTAATCTTTATACAGAGTAGCTTATTTCATTTTGAACTCTTTGCTCTCCTATAGTTATTCATTAAAATGAAATAAAATAAGCAAATACTAATAACACTAAGAAATTTCTCTAAATTCTCAATTTTAAAATGATAGCCATAAAAACTCTGATGTTAGAAGTCAGAATAGTGGTCACCAGAGGCCTTCCAATAGAGGGAAGCTTGAGGGGCCTTTTGGGGTTCTGGTCATGTTCTGTTTCTAGTTTTGGATGCAAATTACATGGCCGTATTCAGTTTGTGAAATTTTTCCAAGTTGTACTCTTATGGTCTGCTCATTTTTCTGAATATATATTATTCTTTGGTAAAATTTTTGAAATGGAGTCATAATATTGCTTAGTTTTGTTGCTATGAAATGAATTTTTCCTGTTTTCTAGCTTGGAAATTTAGTTACAACTTGATTTAAGTTCATATTTCATCTCAAACTTATTTTCCTAAGTGGATTACAGTGTGACTTAAACTGCTTTGAGATGCATATTGAATTAATATACTTTTTAAATTCTCTTTGGTGACTTAGATGCTATTAGGTTACAAAGATTTTAACACATACAGAAAAGCTATCCATAACTCACCATTGAGTTAATAATTTAAAAAATTTTTCTAAGGTATTTTATGCTAATAACAAAAAATATGAAACCAGGGGACTGAACTCGGTAGAAGTAGGACCAAGAACATAGGAGGAAACCTTTTATAGGAATAAGGGCTGTTCTTCCTCTTAGGCAGTAGGAGGGCTGGGGGTGGGTAAATAGTTGACTGCTTACATGGAGAAAAGTGAAGGATGCTCATAAATGATGGTCTTGGTTTTTAAAATATGGCTGAAGGTCAAGGAATTGAAGATAGTAGTGTGAGTACAGTTAAAATGTTAAGAGTTTTCACAGCTTAGGAAGATAAGAGAAATTAGGAAATAACTGACAAACTATGAGAACAAAGACTGGAGGTCACTGAGGACAAACTGCAGACTCAGTGGGAGTAAGATAGAAAGGTAGGTGGCTGTGGGTAGAGAGAAACTTACAAGCCAAAATTTTGCAGGTGGCATAAACTCATATGATGACTGGATTCAAGGTGTGGCTACATCTGTGAGTTTCTGATATAGAGCGAAAACGAAGATCATTGGAAAAGAGAAGGTTGAGAAATCATGAGGTCAGGGTGCTAACTGAGTCATTATCATGGATGCTCAAATCATTAGGTTGTTGCAGGACATGGGGATAGTTCCAAGGCTGACACAGAGTTTCGGAAACACAATTACGTACAGGCAAGGAAGTAAATGGTATCCAAGTCAGAGCCAGATTTAAGCAAATAGCAAGGCAGGCAAAGTTTTTCTTCAACATTTATCACCTTTGGTCTGTAGCATTTCTTCCTAGCTTTGTTCACTTACTCTCAAATAACCTGCGTCCTCATGTAGCCTTCTCAATGTACAGTTCCCCACCCTCTGCTTTTGACTATCTAAAATCCAAAATGGTCCAAAGGGATAAATGGAAAGTTCTCTATTTAAATGCCACTTCCTCCCACTTTTCTTGGCATTTTGACAGGGCTTTCTAATGACAAATCCTTACCCTAAAAGTGATCACTTCATGGCCAATATCATACAGAGGTGTCTGCAAAGTTATTTAATTCCAGCTGAGGGGAGAAGAGCTCTTGCTGTTCTGAAAAATCTTTCTCCAATATTGATTCATTCTTTTAGTCTAGAATTCAACCATCCCCACAAAATGTGTTTCTTGGAAGTTAGGGCTGGGCTAAGCCAATACAAAGATATCCACGAAATAACTAACTCAGTCCTTTTTCTGACCAGTGTACAAGGCAGGCTAGTGTGCTGTGAATTACTGATCCCCTCTGTCTACTCCCTGAGCCAGAGAATATAATTTTTAATATATGCTATGATGTAAAAAGGTTTGGGAAGCATTGATATAGTAGACATTCAATAATAATAACAGCTGACATTTATTGAGCACCTACTATGTGCCAACCATTTCCTACATTTTAACTCATTTAGCCCTTGCAGCAATCCTATTAGGTTGGTGCCATTATTCTCATTTTGCAGATTAAAAACAAAAACAAAAACAAAAACAAACTGAGACCTCAAGGTCACAGTCATGGGAAGTTGTAATATTTGGATGTAAACGCTGGCAGTTTGGAACCAGAAGGTACACTTAACCACTGTAAATTTCCCCTAAATCAATGTTTGCTAGATTAAAATTTTTTTTTAATTAAAAAATTTTATGGAAGTTTGTTTTAAAACAACCACCCCGTAAATGGCAGAACTAGAATACAATCCAGTCACCCTCCCTCGGTTAGATATAGGATGACAGTAGAAAGAGCTGAACACAGAGGAGCTTTGTCTCTCCTGCAGCACCATCTCCAAGCTTGCGTGGGACTCCTTTAGCACTAGACACACAGCAAACTCACTTTTCTGTGTCTTTTAAAAATCATATGATAGCAACTAAGAGGTCATAACGTGTTGTACTCTATTTGAATCCTTAATATAATGAAGAATTTTATAATTGTGCTACCATATGGGTATAATTTGTTCAAGTCCATTAAATCACTATTGTCCTCCTATAGTTTGCCATTCTTCCACTAAAGGCTCTGGCCTTGGGTGTGTTTTACACACATGCACACACGCACACACACACACACACACACACACACACACACACACACAGCTTATCTTCTAATTTTCTCATTTTGCTTTGGGGGGGGGGACATCAAAATGAGCCTGAAGGTCCATTTACCAGGTTTGAGGGTGGAGTGTGTGTGTCTGTGTGTAATGGAATTGGTTTTTACTCAGTATTTTTTATCACAGATTGGGAGGTACAAACCGCAAAGAAAACTAGTTTCTTGGCGTGTCACCAGCTCTGGGGTTTACTAATCAATCACGCTCAAACTCATTTCCTAGCTTAAAATATATATATCGCGGCCAGGTTCATTTACATAAGACTTGGACCGAAGCCGCCGCGGACATAATCTGCGGTAATCTCGTGTGGAGTCGCGGTCACCGAGTCCTTCACTTTCCCTTAGGAGTTCCCACGCCTCTCCCGTCCCCAAGGGAGGCCGGCGGTTCCTCGCGGCTCTGATTTCCCCCGGGAAAGACACGAGAGGAGGCCAAAGGAGCCACAGCGAGATGGGAGGGCGGCAGGCGCGGGTAGCACCCGGGCTTCAGTTCGCGACCCCGTTTTTCCACAGAAAAATGGAACATTCCGCTTCTTCCGCCCGCAGAAGGGAGGTGGGGGAACCCTTCGCTCTTGTCTAGTAAAGGCGACGCGAGCGCAGGCACCGGAATCCGGGACGTCGGGAGCCGCGTTACGGGAATCGCAGCCGCCTGCGTCCCGCCCCCTCGCCGTCGGGCCGCTGGGCCAATGCCTGGGCGCGCTGGTTCTCTCGGGGGCCAATCAGCGTACAGGTCCCAAGTTCGGGGGCGGAGCGCTGCGGGGCGGAGTCGAGGGGGCGCCTTGCC